CAAACCTAGGTGCTGTGTTTTATTCGCTCGGAGAATACGAGAGGGCTAAAGAGTATCAACACAAAGCGCTTGTCATCAGAACTGAAATTGGCGACAGAAAAGGAGAAGGAACATGTTATGCAAACCTAAGTAATGTGTTTCAATCGCTCGGAGAATACGACAAGTCTAAAGAGTATCTCCACAAAGCGCTTGTCATCGCAACTGAAACTGGCGACAGAAAAGGAGAAGTACAATGTTATGCAAACCTAGGTGCTTTGTTTCATTCGCTCGGAGAATACGACAAGTCTACAGAGTATCTCCACAAAGCACTTGACATCACAACTGAAATTGGCGACAGAAAAGGAGAAGGAGCATGTTATGCAAACCTAGGTAATGTGTTTCTTTCGCTCGGAGAATACGACAAGTCTACAGAGTATCTCCACAAAGCGCTTGTCATCAGAACTGATATTGGTGATAAGAAAGGAGTAGCGGCAAATCTTGCAAACCTTGGAAGTCTCTCTATAATTGTTGGAAATTATGAAGTTTCGGAAGTATGCTTGGAGAAAGCTTTATCCATATCCAGAGATATTGGAGATAGAAGCGTAGAGTTCCAAATCCTTCAAAACTACGCCGTTTTGTATTTAGCTAAAAATAAAATCAAAGACTCCATTGCATGTCTTCATCTGTGCATTGAAAAGTACGAGGAGCTGAGATATTTCTTGGGGGCCAATGATGAGTTCAAAACATCATTTTTGGAGCACTCAGGAATATTTCCCTACAAGCAACTTAGTACTCTGCTTTGTGATACCGGAAATGTTCTTCAAGCTCTTTATGTTGAGGAGTTGGGTCGAGCGAGAGGTCTATCAGACTTGATGACAGAGAAGTACTCGCTTGAAAAGCAGATTTCTGCTGATCCACAATCTTGGTTTGGCATTGAAAACAGTTTTAGAAAGAAAAATAACTGTGCTTGTCTGTACATTTCTTATTTTCACAATGTTCTGCATTTGTGGATCTTGAAAACAAGTGGAGTCCTTCACTATAAAAGATTACTAGAAGAGAATCTAGTTCAGGCTGGGTTGCCCAAAGATTTGCCTCTGAGTGAGTTTTTGGCTGATAGTTTCCGGAGTCTTGGTATTTTGCCCACTGAAGATTGTGAAGATCGGTATTTAAATATGGTTGAATTGGAACCTCTCTCCCCCGAACAAAAGAGCCTAGCAAGAATGCGACTCGTGGAGGAGGACGAGGACAAGGAGGTCATTTCAAGTCTATCTTTGTGTTACAAAATGTTTATTGCCCCTGTTTATGATTTGCTTGAGGAGCCTGAAATCATTATTGTTCCTGACCGCAGTTTGTACAAAGTTCCCTTTGCTGCCCTGAGTGAAAAGGAGGGAGCCGAATACCTGTCGGAGACTCATAGGATCCGTGTCATTCCTTCTTTGACAACACTCAAGATCATTCGAGATAGTCCAGAGGACTATCACAGCAACACTGATGCCTTGATAATAGGCAATCCCAAGGTTGATTGGCTGCCACCATTACCAGGTGCAAGAAAGGAAGCGGAGATGGTCGGACGACTGGTGGGTGTTCCGCCTCTAGTAGGAGAGAAAGCAACGAGGCAGGCGGTGCTTGAGCGGATAAGTTCAGTGAGTTTGATACATTTTGCTGCCCATGGTGACGCCGAAAGGGGAGAAATTGCCCTCTCCCCCGTTCCTACTTCCAACAGTGGAAACGCTACCCAACCAAAGGAAGATTACATGTTGACGATGGCTGATGTCTCACGAGTGAAAGTCAGAGCTAAACTGGTAGTACTTAGCTGCTGTCACAGTGGAAGTGGAGAGATAAGAGCCGAAGGAGTTATAGGAATTGCCCGTGCGTTTTTAGGATCCGGTGCTCGCTCGGTGTTGGTTGCGCTATGGGCCATTTCAGACAAAGCAACAGAGAAGCTGATGAGTCGGTTCTACAAACACCTTGTTGAAGGAGAAAGTGCCAGTGAATCCCTTCATCAGGCCATGAAGTGGATGAGGAAAAATAGATTTAGCGAAGTGTATGAGTGGGCTTCGTTTACGCTGATTGGAGATGATGTGAGGCTCGAGTTTGACAAGCAGAGGTAAGACTTGGTGAGAACAGGTATTTCATAAATTAAAGTTAAATTAAATGTGAAGGTGGCTATGACTTACTGGTCGCTGACTGTCGGCAGTTATCCTTTGTCACCTTGAATATCAAGGCTAGTTTTATATCTTTTTTTTTTGTTTCTTTCAAAGAGTAACAATTTATTCTCCCAGTTAGGTGTAAAATATAGAATTTCGAAAGCGCCCCTCTACCAATCAGATACAAGTGTACATTTGCCTACATATTGCGCCTGGTATAACCGTCTTTGCTTTATTTAAGAAATGTTAATTATATTATTTATAATTGTTTTTTACGTTTGTTACAGGAAAAAAGATGAGAATATCTCGAAGTAAACAGACCTTAGAGACTTTTAGCTGGATAAACAAATAGAATAAGTAGAGAAAATACTCTATCCGTTATTTCATTGTGTAATTACAGAAAGGGCAATCTCAAATTAAGCATATTCATTTTAATTTTTTGCTTTCTCTTTCCGATCTTCTCAGAAGGAGGTATTGGTTACGTATCCGAGAATACTTTTTTTCTGCGCGAAAATTATCTTATCCGGCCGACATAATTAGCACGAAACATTATTGACTTATACGGCTCTTAAGTGAAGTGAAATCAGGAAAGTTAAAACAGTAGTTTAAGCATAAAAAACGAGCCAGTTAAGTCTTACAGGGTTTTCCCTCAAAGCCTTTTATCATAGGTTAAGTTAACAGTTCCTAAATTTTTTTATGTAAAATCTTTCCGGAAAGTTTTTCTTTTGGTGAGTTCCAGTACTACTTCTGAGTGCTTAAAAGACTGGAAAAAATACATGGATTTCCAAACAGAACCATGGAAAAAGCTTTCAAGGTCAAGAACTTAATCAGTATCAAGTGGAAAAATGATGGAAGCAATATTTTGAAACTGGTTGAACAAGTCACTTAATTACGTATTGTAATGTTTGAGATAATGTATGTTTGCACCGTGATTTAATTGTTTTCAAGTCAGGTCATTGTCAAAGTGTTGTTTATGGAATCAAAATATTCTTGTTATTTACCACAATTTATACACTTTTTTGGGCAAAGTTTCTTAGAGGATTATGCAGTAATTCCAAAGACGCTAAAATAAAAGATGGCTTAAGAAAAATTTTAGACAATATCGTGAACGTTTGTTTTAACCAGGTTACAGAGTAAAACAGATAGCACTGTTGTTCATTGTTAAGGCGGTAAGGTGGTGGGATAAATGATGCAAGTGGTAGGAGTGTCTGCTGCGGTCTACTGACGCGGATAGGAATGATTAATGCTTGCTTCCGCAGAAAACATCAACAAACGCTATGATCGCAAGAAAGTTGTTTTGTTTCTCAATGCCTTTCAGCGCATTTCTTTGATCGTTTCTCCTCAACCCATGTTACTTGATACTTGTCTTATAATCAAAAAAATTCTGGCGATGAAGTTCTGGTGATTAGTATGCTAACGTCGAATATTAGTTCCAGTGTTAAATAGTAATCCAAGCCGCAACAGTTATAGCGTCAAAGATCATAACAAATTATGGGAGCCAAACGAGTTTTTCGTCCCTTCATTTGACGAAAATTACGTTAACTTCAACATAAAAACTTGAGGCATAAATAAGTGATCACATGCACGAAAAAAAAAAGTTTGACCATGTCACGTGTTCTTGATAGGGTGTCCTTCTCATTTCCTTCTTTAACAATTTCTAAGAGCGTTTAACATCACGCTAATTATTCCGAACGTTAACACCTGAAATATTTGAAAGGAAGCGCCAGTGCCTGAAAGCACCAGAGATGTTAGTGAAATAACTTAAAACGTTGGCGAAACGACCTAAGACGTTTTTATAGCAACAGCTGGTCGTTAAAGAAACGACCCCCAAGCAAAACGGTCGCAATTCCCCGATATAGATCAGACTTAACCGCTGATAGCCATTCACTCGTGGAAAGCGTAAGGAACCACTATTACTAAAAAAATCTGCGTCTAATGAAGTCGATATTTCCGATCCAGTCACTACCGGTCGACGTTACAGCCGGCCAGGTTACATTTCTAGCCTAAACAATAATGGCGGCTGCTAGCGAGTTTCCAACAGAACTGGCGACCCGTCCTTTGGGCCTCACAGCTCTTATGGGACTTGATATTAATCAGAAACCTTTGCACAAAGCTATCTGGGAGTCTTTTTCTGTGAACAGGTATCCTGAGAGAGTTCCGCTATCCTTCAGACTTCTACCGATTGATCACGAATTTCCCAAAGCAAAATCAAAGGTGAGCTTTCCTATCGCTTTTAAGTGTAGTTACTCTTAAATCCTTTGATTACGTGAAATTCTTCTTATTTTAAGCTCTTTCAGTATAGTGGGAGCTCACTCAATGGGCTCTCTCGTAGTAGGCAAGTCAACTTGGCCCACCTTCACTAAAAATTAAACCCTTTTGAGCTCTTGGACTAAACCTAACCCTTTAAACCCGAACGTCAATATGAATATTCTCCATACTTTTCCTAATACTTTCCTAAGGTAACAATCAAGAACTGTAGTTGGTGATCATTTCCGTTATTCTCATGACCTTAGCTTAATGTTTGATTCTGGGGTTGTATGACAAGGAGAAATTAGATACTGAAGGGTTAAATGGACACTATTTTCGTACAGCAAGGGTGTCTGCATAGGAAGTTGCCACTGTTTCATTTTTCTTATATAATTTTATGAAGAAAGTTCCAGGAGTGATTTCCACAAAATCATTAAAAGAGTTAATCACAATTCAATCATACTCCTGGGTTTTTTTCCCAAGGAAGCATTCTCTTGCTTCCTTGAGTTCTGACTTTCTTAAACCTTTTACTCCAAAGATTTCCTTAGTAATTCTCTGTACTGTCTGGTGTACAATTCTTAGGATGTTAGTTCAGAGAATCTGGAATTGGATCAACTAATGATCCTGTAATTTATTCTTTTTTCTTTTTTCTCATCGCTTGTCTGCTTGATATGGCATTGAAATTTTAGAAGTAAGTTCTGTCTCCATCACTCATGGGATTTGAAGTGTTAACCCTTTAACTCCTAAGATCTGATTGTTAATTTTCCCCTCCAGCTGCCACAAATTTCCTTGTAAATTAGTTATGAGAACTTGATGCTAGATCAAGATGAAAGCTTCTACCTGATAAATTTGAATATTCTCATTACCTGTTTGCTGAATAATGTTTGGATATCATTAGGAAAAGTTTCATGTTAATCACTTCTGGGAGTTAAAAGTTTAAGTGAACCTTTATCTTTGTTGGTGTGCATGGAGTCTCAGTAATATTTTCCATAAGTGAGGGCAGATACTGCCATTAGTGGGGTCACTACCATTGAAAATCTTAGCAGATAGCCATAGCAATGTAAGACCTCTCACAGAAGCAGTAGGCCTCCTGTAACCAGTGTTACTGAAATCTCTGCTTATGCAAGTTTATGCTGGCTTTTTATCACTGAGTCTTGTTTCCTTGTAGCGTTCTACCTATGAGTGGTACATACCAAAGGGTATCTTGAAGACAAAATGGATGCACAAACATCTTTATCTCTCTCCTGCTGTGGTGGTCGTGTTTTATGAGTTGGATTGGGATGACGTTCAGTGGAAAGACAGGCAAACTGAATGTGCTTCAAAACTAGAAAGAGTCAGGTAATAACAAGAGAGTGAGAATGTTATCTTACCCCTCTATAACAGTGAACTTTAATCAGCACTAATGACATAACTGAAAATTTTTTAAGTAACATGACAAGTGTGGTTTGATTTTTAGACAAGAGGGTTGCATTGTACGTGTTGAGTTTTATGACATTTTGCAACTTAAAAACATAATTCCACGCTCTCTGATGGATATGAACACAGAATTATAATTATATCAAAGTAACATATAAATTATTGTTTAATTAACAGAAGAAAAAGACTTTTGTCCAATCATCAGCTTAGTGATTTAGAGTGCAATTCAAATAACAAACATCAAATAAGTTTGTCATAACAACAGTATGTGCTCCTGAAAACCTCCCTCTCTGCCGAGTGACAATCAGATACAAGTTGTAATAAGAACAATACAAATTTTGGAGCTATTATTTTCAAACTTATCAGCTCATTGACTGAAAAAAAAAGAAATACCCAGTACAATGAATAATTATTTTTGTATTCTATAACTTCAATCCTGCTCATTAAACTATTCAAAGCAATCTTTTAATTTCTGTACAGGACCAGCCTTCAAGACCAGAACACGAAGGTTGCTGTGGTTCTTATCCAAAAGAATGCTCCTCTTCCTCCAGGTAAACATCAATAAAAACATAGACGTCAGAAGATGATGTCATTAAGTAGAGAGTTTTTAATCCATGTTTGGTGTTTTTACTACTAACATCAAACCACAAGCGACTGCCAGGTCTATCTTGAAAATCTGCCAGAGGCATTATGGCAAGAGTTGCGTGTCATTTATTGAGTTAGGCATGGGCTAAAAAATGGGGAAAAACTATGCCCAAAGTATTGAGTATGGCCCAAGACTGGTGTCTGTAATCAAGGTCAAGGGCACAGTTTCTTCCCACATAGAAAAACATGATTGTAAGACTGTATTTTAACAAGCTGGACCAGTGACTAGGGTACAATTAGCCAATCAAAGTCAAGAATTTAAGATTCCAGCCTGTTGACATGCTTCAGAAAAAAAATATTCCTGTATCCCAAGATTTGAGTACCCTTCATGGAGGAAATTTATGCTATTATAATGAATCACAGGTGATGATTTACAAGCACTAGAGAGGGCAGCAACACTGTGCAGTGCATGTGACCTGTCAGCCAAATCATTGTTTGTCCTTCCACATACAGATCACTTGATTGGCTACACAATTAGGTATTTGTTCAAAATTTATCATTTTAGATTGATTTTGATGAGATTGGTTTTCATTGAGTTTGCAATTGAATATAAAAGCCCAACTTTTGTCAAATATAGGAAAAGATTTATTTAGTAAGAGTTTCATATTTTTTCTATTGTATTTTTTCTAGCTGATCAAGAAAAGTTACAAAACAGGACACAATAAAGACTAAGTTAGTTAGAATTATTTGGAAAAAGTGACAGTGAAGTAGAAAGAAATTGAAAAGCTTTTACATGAGTAAGCCTTTAACTCTCAAGATTTCATTAGTAATTCTCTTAACTGTCTGCCATACGATTCATGTGATGTTTGTGTGGAGAATTTGGAATTGGATCAACCAATAATCCTCCACTGGATATTTTTTCTTTATTCTCATTACTTGTCTGCTTGATATTGTACTGATGTGTCAGGAGAAATTTTGTCTTGGTCACTAGTGGGACTTAAAGGGTTAAAGTAACTTTAGACTCACTACAAGTTGTTTAGTTACTTACATGGGATGAGAATGTTTTAAAAATAAGGGAATATCTATCAGAAAATCAGATGTTATCAGCATTTATCAAGACTTTCCCAAGAGAGTTAACAGCCTCTCTATTGATTTGTGTTTTCATCTGATTAACCCTTTAACTCCCAGATCAAATTTGTAATTCTCCTTACTGTCAACCATACAATTCTTATAATATTAGTTTGGAGAATTTTTGATCAGATCAACTACTTATCCCCAAATTGATATTTTTCTTTAGTCTCATGTCTAATCTAGTTGATATTGTATTGATATTGTAAGGAGAAATTCTGTCTTGGTCACTCATGGGAGTTAAACGGTTGAATGATTATACTACAAGTTATCGTAGTCATTCATTCAAAATAAAAAAGGAACAGGTTTGAAACTTATGAGATAAATATTTCTTCTTCTTCTTTTTTTTTAAGGCTGGAGAATGCTTTTTATGATTTAGCACAGAGTTATTACCATGGAGAATGTAGGAGAGTTAAAGCCCACAAGGTGAGGTTGCAATTCTGGAAATTTAAGGGAGTAGGGAGAAGGTCAGGTTATTAAAATCCCAGCCAGGAGGAAGCAACAAGCCTGTATTTGCTTCATGCTGCAGAAACTAGGGAGATGCAGTGGCAGATGTAATAAACTGTATCCACTGTTGAATGGTCCTTGTCTAAAATTTATTTTCAACTGTCGCTGTCTACATCGTCTTGTACATAGATGATACGTAGATGGATGACACAGATTGAAGATGAGGCCACAGTCTCTGAGTGTCTTGAATTGAATTTTCAACTAGTCAGTAAAAGGGGAAAAGATAGCGTTCTGGTTAGCTTTTTGGACTCTTTTGGTTTAACTGCCTTAGTTCGACATAAATTCATGCTAAAGCCATTGGGTTTTTTAGTAGGACACTCCCCCTGTACTAAGTAAATTTCTCTTCTCATATCAAGGACAGAAAAGTATCAGTAACTAAAACTGTCTGTTGGAAAATGTGCCAAAATTCTGGGTCATATACAATCCTGTATAACTTGCCTGGTAGCACAATATAATGTTTTTATAGATTACCTTTTCACTAGCCAGAATTACCATCAAAATAACTTTGTTGTAGCACCAAAAGTAAAATTTTATCAATATACGGAATGAAGAGACACTTATTATGTTTTCATGCTCTTTATGGTCATTAGGAATTTCTTAACAAAGGAACTCATCAGGTGAGAACTTTAATTTGCAAAAGTGATCTTTGTATGTCAATAATTTGATGTGATCGATTCTACTCAAACTACAGAACTACATTTAGTGAAAGGCTGAGGGAAAGAGTTACCAAGAATTCATAGCAGAAAAAGCTTGTTGATGTCAGCTTTGAAGGGTGTTACTTTGAAATGTTTCTCATTCGGTGTTTTTTTTTTTTTGCTACCCTCTTATATATATATTATTATTATATTCCACCAAAGACATCACTGATCACATTTTGCTTTGCACATGGCCTCAACAATTCATAAATCTCTTATTTTGCTTCTCTACTGTTGTTGTAGCTATTGTTGGTGCGACACCAATTCAAGGTTGCCTTTTTCAATGAGCTAAGACAAGACCCTCACTCTGCTATCAAGTAAGTTCGTCAGTATTTATTTTTTTATTGATCTTACAATGACAACAATTAGTTGGCCAAAAGGTAGATCTCAGTGTTTCCCTTTTTTTCGGTTAAGGGGTCAGGAAGGAAAAGGAACTTTCAGGGCTGTATTAGCCAACTTTCTGTTGAGAGACTTTTTTGAGAAAAGAAAATATAAAGAGGAAAAGTAGAAATGAAAATTTTGAAAAGGACACCTTGTGAGAATATTAAACAATATACTTTCAGCTGACAGCAATGCTTGTCTCTGAAATGATCAGCAATTAGTGTAGGATTTTCACAAGGTATCTCAAGGTTTAGAACTAGGACAGTGGAGGAGAAGGAGCAAATTTTTTTTTTATGAAAGAAAATGACAGAGAGTTAAAAGTTGTTCTGCCTTGCCACATGACAGCCAAAGACAGTTTACAAAATTGGCAACTCCTGCCACAGATTTCTTCCCCCAATATTTTCAGTCTTCCTGCCTTGGAGATCTCTCAACGTAAACTCCCAAGTTAGTTACATTTGCATATTAACATACCAGACATCAGCTGATTGATGTAAGACTTTTTTAATTTTTAACCCCAGGCACTACAGGCAAGCATACAGTCTTCTTGGAGAAATCAAGACAACTGACATGAACATACTAGAGATCAAAGTTGTTGCTGGATTTATTAATTACAAGGTTTGTGTTTTTTTCATATTTTAGAACTCTAATCAATATATATTTGGTGTATACCATTGTAATAATAGTTACATAAAAGTAATGATGTGAAGAAGACATTGTACATCTTGGATGAGTTAAAGACATGATCTCTTATCATGTAATTTTACATTTTTGGGATTATGTACTCCTTTTGTCAAATATGCAAGGTAAATTTTTCACCAGATACCTTAATTGTGCCGTTAAATCAAAAGATCTCCATCTGTAATTCTAAGTCTGAGGTGTACAGTCAAGTCGCTCTTAAGTGGGCACTTTAGGGAGGTGGCCATTTAATAAGTTTATTTTAAAAAATATAATCAGAAAGTTATGAATGAACTATGGTACAGTACTGATTTGGTATTTATTAATTCTTGAAATCAGTTTACCCACTTAACCATCCAATTTCATTTCAGAATGAAACTACATTATAGAATGTGTCGCTTACAACATTGATGAAATCTTCCTTATTTCTCTCTGATTTTATAACAAACCTGTCGGTGACTGCTTAGGAGAAACACAGTACCAAAAATGTTTCCAACATTTTTTAATATGGTCACTTACAGGAGTGTTTTGGAAACAGTGACAAACAGAAACAAAATGGTTATTGGCAGAGTGGTCACAAAAAAACCAAATATCTTTGAAAACATTTGATGCTAAATTTAGATTCAGTGGAATTTAAATGTCCTATGGGACCAATATATCTGGTGATTTATATCCCTCCTACAACATATATTACAGACTTTTGAGTTATCCTGACAACCAAACAGTATTAACCAATTTTTATTAATTGTCTCGCAGATTTGTCGTCTAAGTTTCCAAGCATCAGCCCCATTAGATGCCATATCACAATTCAGAAAGCATTTGGATTTGTTTAAGGAAAAGGTTGGCTGTCCTGACTTAGCCTTTGAACACTCAGCCTGGCTCTCCAAACAGTGAGTATTTTTTCTGTTTAGCCTCCTCACTCTTAACTGGAAGGTCTGCATTCAGTTTGTTTTTTGGGCACTTCCATATGTACAGCTAAAGTACCTCCCTCCACCCCAGAGTTGAAATAAGTATCGGCCAATTATGAAGGGAATTTGATAAAAATGCTGGGGGTGGGGGTAGGGGGTAATCTACCAGACCTATATGTAGCATCAAATCCAGAGAGAGAACTTTTAGTCTCTTTATGCTACAGAAACCATGATAAGCTTTGATGTGGTGAGTCCTCTTTGGTTTGTGTTCTAGAAGGTTTTTGCTTTCAAAGAAACCCAAGCTGTAACCAGGATCTAACAACTCTTGTTTCTTAATGGAACTGAAATGATGAAAACAGGAGACTTTTAAATAATTTGTTAGTCAGTTCAATGATGAATAATTGTCAAAGTTAATACAACATGCTGTATGGTAGGGAATTTTAGAGGCTTAATCAATAACAAACTATGTGAAAAATTAATACAGGTTCAGTTTATTTGGAGAACTGTTTGATGAAGCCATCAGGAATGGTTTGACTGCCTTACAGGTAACAATGTAGAAGATCTGTGTTGGCATATTGGTTTAATGAATGAAATATTTATTTATTAAATCTACAAACAACAATACATCTGTGAGAAGAGAAAGAAATTCTTACTAATTATGTTACTAAGTATTCTGAATTGGTATTTAGAATAAAGAAAAAATTGTCTCCCATTATGCTATATCTCTTATGATAATTGTATGCAATATAAATGAATAGAATGGAGTGTTTTTCTGTTTTAAAGGTACTTTTTTTTCATCTCTCAACAATCATGATGATAGTTTTCTCCCCTAATTAAATTTTGGCCATAAACAGAGAGAGGCACCTTAATAAATAGGATTGATGTAAATGTGCCCAAACAAATCTGGTCTAGTGACTGATTAGAGTGTCCAAATCAGTCATACTCTCAGATTCTGGTAAAGACTTAACTGTTACTTTATCACAGACTCAACACCCATGATTTTACTATCAACAAGCAGCAAACAATGCCATTGTCAGGAGACAGCTTTGCCAGGGCTTGTGTCATGTAAGTAAAATTATTATCATGCCAGAGGATTGCTGAGAAAGATCTGAAGGAACAGTGACAGACACAAACTCAAAGGAGCAATATTTTTCTTAATGAAAATGACCATTTTTTTATCATTAGTTGAAACTTACCAATAAAAATTTGAAGACTAGAACTCTCTGACCTTGGTAATTTTGAAGTACAAATTATTTCCGAAGAACTTTTCCTGGAGGGCCTCACCCAGATAAATTGGGCTACATACTTGTGCACATGAGTGGACATAGCTACAATGGAGGTCAAAGCTTGTTCGGACAAAAACATATCCTATATCCCAACATATTACAAAAGGCCATCTTTTGCCAATTCAGCTGTGTACACAGAACTCCCCCCTCTAACAATGTTGGTAAAGCCTAAGTTTAGGCACTACATCCTGGTAACGTTTATAAAGCACACAAAATTTGAAATTGTTTGGGGGAGGGGTAGGGAAGGTTTTGATATAAGTAATATTGCCTTAGACTTTAAACCACCCTTGTAGTGTGGGATAATGTTGAATGTAAACTAGTGGCAAGAAAGGGTCATAGATTCCCTTCAGAGTACACCTTACCAAAAACTAATTAACTACCACTCAAAAGGGTCATTTGTTTTCTGCATATAATTAACTTCTATTGTTCATTGAGTCTGATGAGTTACTTTTTAGTTAATACATTGCAATCTGTTATTAATTCATCTCTAGACTACCACTCCACTTACTATGAATCCCTTAGAAAATGCTGGAAATCTCAACTTCTATGGTCAGAGACCTTGGAGACAAGGTTTTCAAGGTAACTGCAAATATATAATTTTTTCCTCTTGCAGTGTTTTTTAGAGTAAGTACAAAAGGTGTTGAGACACTCAGTAAGTTTCCTTTGCAAACCATGTACTGGTTGAAAAGCTCAGTGTTAGAATTTTGTTCCATTAGATGAGAGAAAACTTTTCGTGTATTAAAAACACTCTGTCGGAAAAAAAAAATTTAAAACTTTTTTTTTGAGCTTATTTGAAACTTGATCTGTTGAGATGCAATACTTTCCTTTAATTTGTAGAACTGCTGGGTTCATTTGACTTAATATATTTGTAGGAACAGAACCACCAGATGCAGGAATAGAGAAGGCTGGAATTATAGCCTTGCAGTCCCAAGAAATCCAAGTGGACCATTCTGTAAGTGCAATGTACTGTTTGGCAGACTTTCATTTCAAGAAAATTAAGATCAGATAAATGTCAGGGAGAAGTCATGGTGACAAATTAAGTTTAAATGCAAGGTTAATATGACTGTGAATTTTTGGTTGTGCACAATTGCATCAATGAGCTTTCTAGCCAAACCAAAGCAATTATGAATTTGAAATCCCAATTGCCAGTATTACATAATACCTTGTTAGCAAATACTCTTACCATCAATCTCTTTATTTATGCTAACCTAATTTGTAAATTTGGTTGAGGTACTTAGAATATTGGCTCCTTTTTTTTTTTTTTTTTCTCGCAGTGGGTTATCATTCCCCTTCTCAGTAGTGCAGTGGCTCAGTTTAAAAAGTACAAATCACCCAGGATGAAGAGATACCTGAGTAAGTTCTCTCTTTTTTAACTTTAACCCTTTAAACCCTAAGAGTGACCAGCATCAAATTTCTCCCTAAAATATCAGCCCTGAATCACATGTTAAGGTCATGAGAATAAAGGAAATGATCACCAACCAAAGAGGCTTTTGATTGGTGAACAAAATCTCCTTGTCAGCACCTTAGGAAATGTATAAAGAACAGTATGGAGAATATATAGACTGATTTTAGAATGTAAAGGGTTAAGAACTTAGCAAGATGCAACTAAAAGCTTTTGTTTCTTCATGACAATGTACATGTAGTGCTTTTAAAAGTTAACAAAGTCAAGACAGACGAATTTGCACTCGTGCTACACGAGAATGCACTCGTTTTTAGCCAATCAGAAGCGCGTAATTTTTGCATGTACATTATTAACGTTCTAATATCATGAGAAAAGAGAGACCGCTGAGCAGTACCTGTACGACAAAAGAGAACTTTAAGTTTATCATTATGTCTTGTGGTGTGGTTGTGAACATGAGAACGCTACCCTCTAAACCAATCAGAAGTAAAATTGAAGCCAATGGCGCCTTGGTTACGCGCGTTTTCCCGCACTTCAGGCAGGTTACTTGTTTTTTCTCTAAGTTACCCCTTGTGGTATTTACCATCACTGTGATTGGTTGTTGGGTTTACCTTGGTTGTGGTTGGCAACACGTTATTGAAAAGCCCTTAAGCGTGAGAATCAGGGATAGTATGTCGATGTTGGTGGAAGTTTGGCTCATTTACAATGCGGACACAACCAACTCGGACAGACAATAATTCCACGTCTGTTCAGTTGGACTGCTACAATGCCAAAAATCAAAGTTGGTCTTCTTTTTCCATGTCAAATTATTGTCAAGGGGTTGTTTATGAATAGCAACTTTGGGGGTAGAACATTCAAAACAGCTTTTCTCAACTTCAAATTTTAGATTTATTTATTTTTACATCCATAGTCTACTTAACTCTTATTACAGGTGTGCATACTTGGTTGGCAATGTGGAGGAATATATCACCCTTTCGCTTGAATTGACAGGAAGATGTATCCTTGAAAATATTGCCTATCATCTGAATAACTGAATGTAGCATTTTTTCTTGATGAAAAGATTCTCTTAGTTAGAGTTATTTTCAATGCAAAGTGATGTGGGATTGCATTGGTTTAACTTAGCTTCGTAATGTGATTGGTCAAGAAAACTCGGGCCACTTTCTCCACCAATCAGATGCAAAACTAAAACCAACCACGACTTGGTCACCCGCTTTTTCCCGCGCTTTAGGCAGGGTGCCTGTTTATGCTTTGAGTTCTTATTGATTCTTCATGCTAGTCACTCTAAGGGGTTAAAGGGTTAAAGTGATTTCCAAGTCAGGTGGAAAGGCTGAAAAGCGCCTTCAAAACGCAAGGTACTCTACGGTAACCAACTAGTAAGGTTGCAAAATTTGGGAATTTTAGAATAATATCAATTGACTATTGTAGTCGTATTAAGCTGAACAGATTTTCTCTAAGTCAAATCCATCGCGTTGTAAAAGTGAAACATCATACCCAATATGTGATATTGTATTGGTGATAGAGTCCTTGATTCAAGAAAACATCAGATGTTGAAAATTCACCAGAGGAGAAAACAAGATGTCAGACTAATCTTATTCACGTCATGTCAGTAAGGACTTATTTCAAATGGTCGTTTAAAGAGGATTTCTGGAAGAACATTTATTGTAGAATGAGTTTACGCTGAGTTTCTCTGTTTTTGTCATCTACGACCCTGACACTGGTGATTTAAATATAGAAAGCACGCGCGCGCCTGAACGCGAGTTAAACGCGCAGGAAAGAGAGTTTCTTTCCCCGCATGGCTGGTCTTTCGCGCGTAGATAACTCGCGTTTTCGCCGAGCGCTTCTTACAGGACAAGCATGTTACGAAAAACAACTGAATTCTTATCGCTGTATCATTTCTTATTTTTCATTGGAATTACAAACAGAATGAATGTCCTGAGCCCGAGCCAGGCTGTGACTTTGAAGCAGTGGAAGAAGCTAAGGAGCTATGGAAAACACTTAAAGTGACTTCACAGGCACCCCAAGTATTTACCATACAGATGGAACAAATAGCACCATTTGGTGAGAAAATGTCAACTCTATTGTGTATTTTTCCTCTTTGCACTGATATCATTTCACAATTTACAGAGGCAGAAACTGAATTTGGCTGTAGAAACTGCTAAATTCAATTTCCAAATACAGCAAACAAAATCTTGCAGGGTAGGAAAAAACTCTTCTTTTATACCCTTTGAAACCAAGGCTTGATAAGGTGACGGGTAAAATCTTTAAGCTCAAAATATTAATGAGTGAATGAATTTATTTTATTTGTCTTATGCAAAGGAGTGTGTGATATTTTAATATTTCCTGTTGTTTTCAATTTTGTTCTTTCTCCAGTGGAATGTAAGCCAGTCTTTGATTCAGTTTCAACAACAGCATATTCTACCATCCTTCTTCAAATTTACTTAAGGTTTGTAATGTCCTCTTAGAGTCGCTTAATCCAAAACAGCTTTCACCCTTAACTTTCAAGCTCTTATTAATTCTCCAAACCAATGACAGATTTTTCTTTTGATGGTGAGTCACGAGAATTTCGTTTTATACGTGACAAACAGATTCCATGATGCCGTGTGTCTGTTCATTAACAGATCACAGACGACGTCAAAATGTTGAAATAACAAAAAAGTGATACATTTTCACGTCTGCACTGAAATTATTTAGCTCTGCTATACATGGTAACGATTCGGTGATTCTTTGTGAGCGTTATGAAGTACGCGATCTGACCCCAAACCTCTCTGGTTTTCACTCTGCTGCTACTGTCGCGCTTTATCGCGTTTTACCCTCTGAACACATGGAAAGAAAGTTTGGTGTTATATTTGACAAACAGGTTCCATGATGCCGTACGTCTGTTCCATAATAGATCACAGACGACCTCAAAATGTTGGAAAGAACCAAAAAGTGATGCATTCTGATGTCATCTGTGATTTATTATTAAACAGACGCACCGTAACATGTCGTCGCTTTCTTGAATATCCCTTGATGGATCATTTTCTGTTCTTGATTCTCGTAAACTTTCTGTTTTACATATTATTAAAGTATGGAGAATTTAAGTTCTGATTACTCGTGGGAAGAATATGGTTAAGAGGAAGCTTTTAACCACAACCTTGGTTCAAAACTGTTAGCACTGAAGTTATTTAGCTCTATTATGCATGGTGACGATTCGGTGATTCTTTGAGAGCGCTTTTTGATTGAGTGTTGTAAAGCAACCTAAAATAACCACAACGCTCACTCAGGACAAAGGAAAATATCACGAGAAGCTTATAAAAACTCAGCGTACAAACAAACTGCCATTAAGCGCGGGAAAAGGCGGGAGATTGGTCGAGAGAGTGGCTCGACTTTTCAAGACCGATCTTTGACCGTAACGAAGAAAAACTGATGTAGTCTCGGATTACCATTGACAATCAATTAAAAGTTGTTCTAAGTAAAGGTCTAAACACTCGTTATTGTTGTGTGTTGTTATATTTCAGGGTTTCTTGCCCATTTCCCCTCCGATTCTCGAAGATTGCCGTTTTCTTTAGCAATCAGGTAAGTTAAAATATTCCTATATACGTTAGGCTAGTGTTACTTTGTTTCGCCAAAATATGAAAGCACAGTTTAGTCTCGCGCTTACAATAGCAAGGTAACTACCACAGCTAACCGGAACGAAGGTCGACCATAAAATGCACCAAGGAGAACTAAAATCAAACAACTATGTACAACAGTAAGTGTAGGAAAACGCGGATAATAAAGGCATGATTGGTTTGGTTTTGCATGTGGCGTTGAGCTGATGTCTTATTGTCTATGATCTTGAAGGCGTCAAAAGTGAAATGTAATCATTTGTGGTCACTTCGGGTGTGAATCGCAACATTTCGACTGCATACTGCCAGTCTTCTTCGGGCGATGAGGTCGATCGAGTACACGTCACTAATATGCTCTTGTGCTCAGCTGTGATTGGAATTTCACGGCTGTGATTGAATGCTTGGAACAGGCTAATTTCGTGTCTGCTTGCCTGTAATCATGCCATGACACTCTGGATGCTAGTTTGGTTGCATTTTCTACTGGCCTGACTCAATTTTTTTTTTATCTTTTATCTTAGTTTTATAACCAACAGTGTGTTGTGGAGACTGGGTCCGCTCAAGGGGAGTGTGGACTGTATCTTCTTCCAGCAAAGACCAAAGTCATACCATTTCAACTAGTGCCCCGGCCTGAGGATGTTGGAAAACTACTTCAGGTAAAAAAATACTGAAATACTTCGCCATACGAGTCTTTGCACTTATCAATAATTTATTCGTATGAAATGATAATTATCGCAGTCAGATGACGAGACTAGCAGCCTAAAGAGGAAAAGCTAATGGTCTTTTACTAGAAACTATCTTTAGAGTATTGCTGCCAGTCCAAAGTAAGATTGCCCCCCTCCCCCCGCTTCCCGCACTTTGTCATTCCTAGGTGTAGAGTAAAGAATTTTTGCCCAAAAACTTTACTCAGTGATCCCAACCCAGGGCTCAAAGCCAGATCTCTCGGTAGTGTCACCGGCAAAGTTTGACAGAAAACTTTTTTCCGGAGGAGACTGCTTTAAAAGAGACTTCAGATTTAAGCTTTCTTCGTTGTGGTTCCTAGGTCACCTCCGTTGCTCTGGAGTTGGGGTCCCATGTCTCGGTATGCTGTACTGGTGTAGAGTGGCTGGGGAGGGGAGACTGGTAACCAAAGCCTCCCCTTTGTGTCATACGGCTTAAAATCCGCTAGCAAGGAGGATCAGTTTGACTGGGATGAGTTGAAGGTCATCTCGAAAAATTAAGTAAGTCATGCTTGTTTTCCATTGAATCTTTAGCTACGGAGTGGAGTAAATATGAACAATTATTAACAGACATAGAGGTGAATTGTTGTTTCAGTTTGTACCACACAAACTGAATAACTAGTGGTCCAAAACATTTTTAACGTATCTACCTCCCAGTTAGCCAATCAGTGCGCGCAAAGAACGGTATCCACTTGAATGGTAATTGCTTACAGGCTTGAATCACATGGCACTGAGAGTTCTTCGGAAAGTAATTAGTCAAATGAATAATTACGACCTCAGTAAGGTGGAATTTATTGTTGATATCAGTTCCCTTCGCGAACTCTTTACGCCAGAATTGAACCGCGCAAGCCTAAAGTTAATATCACACTGAAGCATGAACCACCCGCCCTTGTAAACGAGCTTTATGAACTTCAGCTGGTTGTTGAGAGCTTGGAAGATACACCGCTGAGAGACCTGAGGTATGCCTTTTCAGTGTGTTTTTATCTCAGTGTTAAAAAAGAACGTGAACCAGTTCTCTCCTCTCCTACCGTCTATTTTTTATCTGAAAGTAATGCAACATGTCTTTGCCTTCTCACATTTTCGTGCTTTTGTCGGTTTTCGTGAACCTAACTCCTCTTTCAAGCGTTACAACAACAATATGTACCTTTTTTTAGAGCATGGCCTGAATTTCAGGATGAGCAGGAATCTCCCGAAAGAGGTGAGTTTTTAAAAACAACAACGTCTTCCCGAATATTATATTCTGATATGTCAGTGAAGATATTCAATCTGGGAGAGCCTGGGTATTTTCCTTCGTTGGAAGATTAGAGCGTTAAAGCGCTTTTTGCTTGAGCGTTGTAAACCAAAACCACAGGAATCACAACAGCCAATCAGAAGAAAGGAAAATAACTTTAAGAGCCAATTAGAGTGCAAGGTAAAACCGAAGTTTTACATCTGATTGGTCAAGAGAGTGGCGCTAGTTTTCTGGACCAATCACACAGCGAAGTTAGGCAAAAATTTAATTTTTGTTGATATGTTTTCGTTCAAAATGTCAAGTTTCTGTTAATTGTATTCCCAGGCGCTTTGATTTACTCAGAAGTGCCCGCAGCAGATCAGGCTGAGAGAGATGCAACGAACTTTTTGGAATTTACTGTGGATGGAATGACTGATAAGGTATGAGAGGTTGTATAAAGGATGATACTTGGCCGTGTATGGCTACGAATTTTATCTTCGACCCTTGCGTCTCTACCTTTAACCAAGAAGCTATGCATTTCAGAGTGAAATTTGATTTGCGACACGTGAGTTGCTTCAGATTTGTGTACAGAAAACTTGGATGGTGGTGGTGAATTTATTGTTTTATTCACATTGAGAACCTCATGACACAAGCTGAATTTTTATCCTTTTAGACGTTTTTGGTGTGTAGTATGGCTGTGTTTTTTACGATGTTGCCGTATTTTGACAACCGATTCAAATTTAAAACCAACGAATGAAAATACGTAGTGATACTATACACCAAAACTTTTAATAAGTTATTCGTTATCCAACTGAGTTATTTATACGAAAATGTCGTCCCTTCTTTTCTCCAACAAACCAACTCACGGAAAGCATAGCTAACCTGTCAAAAAGGTTTTTTTTTTTTTATCTTTCTTATTCTATTTACAAAACATGACGCTAACGACATTGCTGATCCTAGCAGTATGCTGGACGCGTGTCATATATGAGCTTCGTAAAGGGCATTGCTTACCATGGAGTCTCTGTGGCTCAGTGGTAAAGCATCGGAGCGCGGAATCCGAAGGTTTGAGGTTCGATTCCTCGTGGGGAATTTTTTTCTTTGTCCTACAATTGTGACTAGACGAAAAACACCTTTCTCTTTTTCTTTACCGATCTTAAAACTAACCATCTTTTTACTCTATTTACAAGGTTTTTTTTTTCAGTACAAAGTAACCAACTTTCGAAGTAACCGTACAATATCGAGGGTAATTTGTACTCGTTGCGCGCGTTATTTCTTTTTGATATTCCATGTAGTGCTGTTGGATTAAAAAAACTGCCTTTACTTCGTTTGTCTGGTGTGCAGGGAAATAAGGCTTTAACACTAATAAACCATCCTTATTCACGTCTTGCATATTATCAATGTGTCCCTTTCGTCTTTTCTTTCTAGATCGAGAGGTCGTACTTCGTCAAATGCTCTCAAGTAGGATCGCGGACTGTAACAGCAAAGGTATAATACTTGATTAAGCTATAATTGTACCTTTAATCACAATTCTTTGGGCGTCTATTTAGAGACCTCAAGTCAAATTGTCGTGCAATAGGCAGCCTGCAGAAGAGGCGTTTTTAAGGCGAACGAGGATTAGAGAAAGGGGAGGAGTGCCTTATTTTTCCCCGCCTTTCCCTCGTACGTCACTTCCGCTTGCCTCCGTTCGCCATATTGTGCATGTTCTGCGGGTTATGCGTTTTCGTTCAGTACGTAGTTAATAGATCTCTATACAATACCTTTAGATACGTAATATTTTTGTATGTTCTTACTCTCTTAGGATCGAGTTTCAAGTTAAGATATCTTGCATTCTTTGAAAAGATTCCTATCAATGCTTAATCCTAGTCATTTGCTTATTTTTTTAATTTATTTTTTTTTATGCAGATTATCTATACTGTAGATGTCCAAGTTGAACCAAATTCTTCGCCAGTCACCTGTACCTGTGCCAAGGTGAGATCACTCTTATGTGTCTTAAAAGTAAAACTACCTCTCAGTATTTCCACATTTAATTTTAATTCTCGTTCGCTTTGTAATGTAGTTGCACTTGTGAATGTGAGTTGCACTTGTAACATGGAGCGCTTTTCGGTTGACTGTCATAAAACCAAAACCAAAGCAATCACAACGGCTAATCAGAAGAAAGGGAAATAACTGAAAGAGCCAATGAGAACTCAAAAGAAAAACAACAATACCCAAAGGGCGGGAAAACGTGGCTTTAGTATTGCATCTGATTGGTTTAGAAAGTGGCGCGAGTTTTCTGGACCAATGATAGAACGCAAGTAATCTCAGATTTCTTTCGACACGCAATTAACAACTCCTCTACCTGGTGAATACAAAATCACGACGACTTTTTGCTTTCTTCTTTCTCTACTGTCCTGATTTATACCCGCCTTAGGAGGAAAGTGTTGTTATCAAGGCTGTTATGCCATTTGAAATCTCTTTGTCTCTGACAAATCTCAAGGTAAGGGAAAATAGGCAATATTGTTTACGATGTAATTTTACGTCTCTTGGAATCGATCAAACTTGCGCTTTTGGCTATGTTAGCAAACTTGCTCTCGCTCTTGTCTCAAATTTTTTTATTACATTGAAATTTATGGCATAAATTAATGCATCTATAAATCCGTCAAAAATTTTCGATCGCGGCATAACTCTACGAATATAAACCTGGTCTGGTGCATCAAGAAACACTTTCTGACTACCACGCATCTGAATGCGGGTGCTGTGGTTTGAATTGATGATTAGCGCTAAGTTATCTTTTACCACGCGATGGAAATTCAATTGTAAGGTTCCTATACAAAGTAACGCAGTGTCTAGGCTAGTAAATGGGGACCACAGGCAGTCAGGAAGGCAACGGCGTAGTAAACGATGGTTTAAAAATGAATTTATAATTTCGCGAATAGCTGAATGCGCTTACTGCTTCTTGTAGCGCCACACGTCAACCACAGCTTAACGAATGGAAGCAGCGTTGAGTTCCAAACGGGCGCTTAGACAGTTTGCCATCGGGGTTTCCGTTCACAGACCACACAAATTTGGTTGATTTCAAGTTGTTGTTTTGCAAAAAACGGATAAGAAATGTACAAAGTTTTGAAATGCACGTGCCGATCAATTGTTCTGAAAATTAGATATTTTGTTTTGTTTTGCCCTCGTTGTCGTCGTCGTGGTTTGCTTTTGTTTTGTTTTGTTTTGTTTTTTTTTATGAGGGGGGGGGGGGGGTGGGGGGGTGTAAACCAAAGCAATGTAATGAGTTCAAATCATTGATTTGCGTTTATTCTCAGTTGGAGAGACTGGATCAGCTGATCAAAGAAGAACCATTCCTCTTATTAGCTGGCATCAAATGCACCTCACCTTGGCCTGTTACCATGGTCACCACTACATTGAATATGGTGAGTTTACAAACAATTTATGTTCGCAAAAACTTGGTTTGTCTTGCTTTAGAAAATATAGTCGAGAAGATAACAAGTCAATGGAGCAGGAGAGCAAGTGCTAAAAGAAATTGGGTGGGGTGGGGTGGGTCGGAGCGAAATCTCCGTTTTAGTGGAAAAGTTAATCTCTGGGTTCACTTAGTATCCCCTCCCCCGAGTCAAGCTGGGAATGTATATATACTACAGCTTTCGTGCGTGTGCCGGAACCGCGCGAAAATAATATGTCATGAATTATTTTTCAACCTTCGGATAAGATGACATGTCTCGAATTGATCTTCTCAAACTTACTGCTATTTAACTCCTTGAAGAAAAAGTAGCCTGAGAAATTCAGGTTTTATCGAGGATTGACAAGGAACCTATATCTTCTTGAGAATAGTCGGTTCCTACTTTCAACTGTGCTTCGAATTAGAAGCAGAAATTCTGGAGAACTGTTTGTTTGTTTGTTTGTTTGTTTGATTTAAGTCTCCAGAAGTGAATATTGTGGGCGAAGAGATGGGATCGCCGCTGCAAGGAAGTAAGGAATACATGTCTGTGTATTACGAGAATAACCGATCGGAATTAGTTAAAGATGCGTCTACTTGCATTGCTGTCCCCAAAAAAACTGTGAGATTCTCGTCGTTAGAGTGGATTAGGCTTCTTTATAACTAATCGCCGAACATTTGGGGAAACTAGAAAAGGTTGAGCGTTTTTTTGGACCAATTGAAGGAGGGGGGAATCAGCAGGGGAAGACAAGAGAATTTTCCTGAGGAGCTTCAAGGCTTTCAAGGCCCTCTCCTCATACTAGACAAGGTTGAGCGATTTTGTAGATTAATGGAGAGAGGGGGGGGGGAGAAATGTGCATGGGAATACGAGGAGAATTTTGTTGAGGTGTTTTCAAGGCCCCTCCTAATTAAATACACACCAGACAAGGTTGAGCGATTTTGTAGTCCAATGGAGAGAGGGGGGGGAGATCTGCATGGGAATACGAGGAGATGTTGAGGCGTTTTCAAGGCCCCTCTTAATTAAAGACATACCATACAAAGTTGAGCGATTTTGTAGAGCAATGGAGAGAGAGGGGGGAATCTGCATGGGAATACGAGGAGAATTTTGTTGAGGCGTTTTCAAGGCCCCTCTTAATTAAAGACATACCAGACAAGGTTGAGCGATTTTGTAGATCAATGGAGAGAGGGGTAAGAATTTGCATGGGAATACGAGGTGTATTTTGTTGAGGAGTTTTCAAGGCCCCTTTTCATATGAACATACAGCTTTGCGTTATGTGTCCTTATATGCAAATTGCGGGTGCAAGATTTCTTGTGAAAAACTGACAATTATTCCCGACTTGCTGGCTGTTTTTTCTTTTTCTCCTTCTAACTTCATGTATGGTGGTCCCAGTCTCTTTGCAACAGGGTGAAAGTGCGTCGGAATGCTACTGCTTGGCTGTTAAAGAGGGTGTCAGTAAACTGAAGGTCGTGAACATTGGAAGTCTTGCCCTCCAGTGGAGACGGTAAGTTCGTGGTTAACTCGAGGGAGTCTAAGATAAGTGAGATAGTTGAAGCAATTTTCAATTGAGTACCGATTGTAATACCGAACTGCATTCAAAATTTGGTCTTGCCTTCCTTTGCTTTGTGATTGGAGTAGGAAAGTTGCAAAACTCTCTCTCTCTGTCAACCAATCATGAAATGCAAAATTTAAACCAGTGGCGACTTGGCCATCCGCGTTTTCCCGCGCTTCAGGCAGTTTGCTTGATTTTTTTTCTTCGTGCTCTCATTGGTTCTGATGAACCAATTTTATTACTTTGGATTTGTAGTTTTTGCCAACACTCAGTGGACCCACTGATGCCTTTTCAACTGAACCTTATTTAGGGAATATATAGAAGTCCTTTCGTTTCTTGATTTAATCATTTTACATTGTTTTAATTCTTTAGAACTTCTGCGACTGATAAGTTTCCAGTTGTGGTCACAGAGCTCACTTTCCCTCTGTAACAGTAGAGAGTGTTCCTTTTGCGATACAGGCAGGTACGTTTCCAGCAAGGTTAATCATACGGCAATATGCCAAGCGTCAAAATCAAACTATACTGGAAAAGGTTTATTCGTGCTTCTCCACCTTTGTGCAGGCAAAGTCGTCCAGGTGTGAGTTTATGTTTCAACTACAAGTTCAGTAGTGTTCTTAGCAAATGCAGTGCAAATGTATGAATTTCATATATCTAAAATCATTATTCATCACTTGGATGGTTAATTTGGACCCAACATATTGACCAGCTCCCAGTTGGCTTGTTAACTCAGTTGGTAGAGCGCTGCACTGGTATTGCAGAGGTCATGGGTTCAAATCCCGTACGGGCCTGAAATTTTTTTCAGGTCCTATTTTCAACTACTATTTCAGTAGTGTTGTTAGCTGCGAGGATCTCTTAAATTCGTCCAAATGTGTTACAACTATCAGTCTTACAGTCCATTTGGTGAAATTCCGGGCCAATTGGCATAAACACGATAAAGTCGATACGGTTTTGCGAAAGCACTCTTACTGCGCGTTTTACAGGGTTTCAAATTGTTCAAGAGATGAGGAAACCTCACACGTACTAGGAAAAGCCACTTATAAAAAACGTGGTTAAACTCAGTGTTAATAAATGTATAGAGGGGGTACGTTTTTAAACATAATTTGGTGCTACGTCAGTGGGGTATTGAACAATAGTCATGTTTTATTAACAAAGTTAATAAAAGAAATTGGTCCCTGTAAAGAGTTTCTCAAGCGGACCTCTCGAGCGTCAGCCCTACGTCGATACTTCAGCTGTAGAAATCCTTTACGGTGGCCAATTTACATTATCACTTCAGTTGATAAAACCAAATTATCTTTGGATATATGTATTTGTTAATGAATAGAAGAGGAAAGACGGTAAATTTAAAGCTCCGTAATAAAGTAAAGAAAGATATTTTTTCTTCGTCATACAAGCGTGGGACAAGGAAAAAGTAAAGCTTGCCATTCGAGAGCGGAAGTCGAAATTTTGGGGCTCTAATCCTCATGGAGGCACGACCTCGTTACAAGACCAAAAAAAAAAAATTATATATTGTACCGTTTTTTTCAGATTTGCCTGCATACGGCTGTGTACAGAGCCCACTTTTCGTAAGCTATCTCGTCCGCAATAGAACGCTTCAAGGTCCAACCAATGTTTTTATAAAGGTAAGAAACTTTTTTGTGTCCAAAACGTGAAAAAATGCAAATATGTTACAACGCGTTGGCAGAACATCGGATAACGGTCAATTTGGTTGGTTTTATTTATTAACACAATCATCAGAAGATGTTTCTACGCTCTAATTCGGTTCACTAAATTAGTTCTAAATTATTCAAGTGTTTGACTACCGTAAAGTTTACGATCCAAATCGCCATACTGGCTTCTCGCTGAAAGGCTGTATCCTTTAACCCTTTCACTCCCAAGATATTTTTATTAACTCTCCTTACTGTCTGTCTTACGATTCTTTAGATGTTAGTTCGGAGAATTTGTTGATAGATCAACTGATAATCCCCTAGTTGATTTTTTTATTCTCATAACTTGTCTGCTTTATATTGTTTTGATATTGTGAGGAGAAATTCTGTCTTAAGTCACTTATGAGGACTTCCTGACTTGAAAGTGGATGTGAATTCTCAGGCCCGGTGGCCGTATTTGCAACACCTTTACGGCCCTGAAACGGAAAAACAAAACAACAAAATAAACAGCTGCAGTAACCTTGTTGGAAGGGATGGCTGTGTAATGTGTTATTACACAGCGTGGACCGACTGTCTGAACAAATTACACATACCAAAAATTTATTAGTTATCATTTTTAAAAGTTAGCACGTAGGATATCCTTGCGAAAACAGGTCTAGAAGTTTTTAGTACAACTAGCGACTGGAATACCAGTGATTAGTCATAAAATGGATTAGTCACAAGTTTTAAAAGTTAGCATGTAGGATATCTATGCAAAATCAGGTATAGAAGTGTTTACCATAATCAGAAACTGGAAATCCATTGGAAAACTCATTTATAACGTGTCTGTTATCACACAGCCTCGAGGCCGGGAATTGGAATCTGAGAAGAAGCCTGGTTACGAGTACTAAAGATAGCTAATGGAACAGTGGAGACTGGAGGCAAACTTTCCAGTTATAGTCACAATAGGATTTTAAGCAGCAAAGTGATGCAGCGGAGATTTGAACAGCTGTAAACTGCCAGCCACATGAAGGAAATTCTTTAGTGGGGGCTTTTGTCCACTGGCTGGTGAATTGCAGGATGTTTAAGGCCAAACAACTCTGTGGTTAACAGATACGCTTACGTGTTTTTGCGCGCATGTCGTATCGATATCACGTAGAATCAGTTGCACTACTTCCTTTGGGTGGATTAAGAAATTAAGAGTAGTGCTACTACATAGAACGACGACTTGCCCGGAGATATTTGCTCCGTTTGTGAGTTTTCTCTCTTGTTGACTTGGGTGACATGTTTCCAGTTTTGTTCATATTTAACCCTTGAAATTTCGTATAGAACGCTTTTCGACAAAGTGTCGTAAAACTGAAATCAAAGTAATCCCTACAGCCAATCAAAAGAAAGAAAATACTTTGAAGAGCCAAAGAGAAATCAAAGTGAACACAACCAAACTGTCTAAAGCGCGGGAAAACACGGGCGACCAAGTTGTGGTTGATTTTAGTTTTGCATCTGATTGGTTGAAAGAGAGTGGCCCGAGTTTTCTGGCTCAATGACAGAGCAGAGCAAAACCAATGTAATCTTAGATTGAAAATTGCCCTATGAGTTCAAGATTTCTTTCGCGTGACGTGGTCGTTGACTTGGGCCAAGCCTGAATCAATTATCACACAGAGAAATCAAAAGCGAATGATTAAACTGTTTAGTTGAACTTCTAAGTTGAACTCGTTCAAAACTTAACAACGAAACAGGCTCATGATTTTTTTAGACACCTGGACAGTATGAGGTTACGTAGTTGCGTAGCGAATCAGATTGCAGCATTTGTGAATTTCTACTTATATATGATTTATGTGCCACTCTTGCTAAGAGCGGTCTTCTTGACTTCCCGTCGGAAAAAAGTTTTCTTTTATTTTTTATCCATGAAAAGGGTTTAGGACACATGTTTCAAAAATAGTTTAGTTCTCCAATTCTCTTTTTTTTTTTTCGCCACAAGCCAAAAATCATTTTTGGCCAGACCACCCCTGCGAACAGTGATCGAAAGTGTCAATTTCAAAGATTTTGTCTAGCGCGCAGCGACTGCAACAATGTAGCTCACGGAATTCTATCTTGCTACATGTTACAAGGTGTATTCATTTAGTTCACAGACAAAATATGGAAACTTCAGCTGAAATATTTTTCATACCAGCGTGATCAGAGGAGACCCTGCTCTTCGACCTTGATTTGCATATCAAAAATTCACTACTTTGTACCAAAGAATTCTCAAAATGCAGGCGTTAATCGGGCCGAAAAAGCATATCAGTGCATAGTTTATACACCAATGAGGTCACGGATTGCCTCAAATCCGCGGGTATATCTCTAGCTTCCATCCACCTTCTTAAAAACAACGCAAATCCATGTGTTTGCTCAATTGCACTCGTTTCAAAGATCATTTGCGTGATTCTTGGAATTGACCAAGATCTCCTTTTGACATTTCAAACTTCGTTCGTTTATCTTCTACATTGATGATTTTAGGTTTTCACTGCAACTGAATGGAGATTAGATGCCGAGTTGTCCTAAAACGTTGCGTAAACGTTATCGGTCGTAACGCTTGCGCGCTTGCGTGACTTACAAAGTAGACAAAGGTGATAGGAAGGCCTCCTCGATAATTTACGTTGAAATATCAGGTCATGAATTATGCAGTGTGGAGAAGATCAAAATTAAAGAATAAAATTTGGCACTCTGGTCATAACAGATATATCGCGTTGCTTGAAAGGACACAAAAACAAGTTAAAATAGGTTGCAGTGTTTATATTTACAAAACAACACGCATACACTCTGAAATAATTCTTGCAGATTCTTCCGAGATTTAGTATACGGAACCCGATGAACTAACCCTCCTGTCCGCAGATTTGTTTCCATCACTAATGACGTTACGCTCTTATGGACCACAACGGTTTTGAGCGACAAACTCGACATTTCCCTGCGACCATCAAAATTAACTGGACAAACCCAGTTTGATATATTGCGTGACGTGATTGTGCAAATTTTTCCCCTTGCCATATGGCCTGTTTCGCGGGTTCTACAAATTGAAACCAAAATTAGTTAGTGTAACAAATTAGAATCAAAAGTTATTAAAATGGACTGAATTACATTTTAATGAGAATTTCAACTTTTAAAAAGGTTTACTTGATTCATGGAAAGCAAAGATTGGAGTGGCTTTGGATATTTAAGCCCTGATTTCTCTACTGGGACGACGTATCGAGTTATTTGAAGTATTACCAGCTATCCAGCGAAATCCTCGATTACAAGTTAATTTTGTTTCATTCCGGTCAGTTTGACCACGATATGGAAAAAGATATAACAGTTATTGGTATGTTCTAAACATCTGAACACTTTAAGAAACATTAGAAATGCGGTGGCGGTACTTGTTAACAGCCACAGCATAAGGGAAAATGTGAGGCAGTAAAAGAAAGCCAGACTGACTGGATTGAAGTTTCGGAATTTAAGTTGTACTCGTATAACATGAGTAATATATTTGCAATTTCTCGAGAGTGAAGGCTATTATCTAACTAAAAATTGGTTCGTAAGTGCCTATCTGGGCTATCTGCAATAGCAGACAAAACCAGAATTCTCTTGACAAAATCAAAGGACAAATTGTGTCATGACGAATTTTTGTCTCGATTTTTGTTTGTCTATTCTTAGAGTCAGTGAAAAGAGTTCTTTCGTTTTTTCGTAAACGGCGACTAAAAAATTCAGCCGAGTCGTTGGACGCAGTGTTCCTTTGCCCTTCTGCACTTTCCAGTAGCCTACCCAAAGACGTAAAAAATCCTTCGATGTTGGGCAGCCAAATTCGTACACCTTGCATAGTGCTTCTCAAACTTCACTGATCGTCTGCCTCTATTTACCGCCATTTTGAAAGTGTTAGTTTCTGGGGCTTCTTGTTTAATCTGACTTCTGACTTTCTTTGAATTTGACACTTTCGATCGCTGTTCACAGGGTTGGTCTGGCCAAAAATGATTTTTGGCTTGTGGCGAAGCAAAAAAAGAGAATTGGAGAACAACTAAACTATTTTTGAAACATGTGTCCTAAACCCTTTTCATGGGCAAAAAATAAAAGAAAACTTTTTTCCGACGGGAAGTCGAGAGGACCGCTCTTAGCGGGAGCGGCACTTAAGCAGTTCAGCCCTTTGGCTGTAATATGATATTTCAATAAACTATCTATCTATCTATCCATTTGATAATTTCTTGTGTAGTATGTACTGATCATACCCATACTAAGAGTTGATACTTATAAAGTAAACTAAACAAGAAAAGCATATAGAACACAATGGAGGTACTTGAATAAAGTCATACCTGCACTTAGACCTGTATCTTTCTGAGATTTATCTCTTCACCACTTATGCCTGCTCTTTATTCAGGTGAGTCAAGCTGAGCTTATTGTGCAAAGTTTGTGCAGTTGCTTGTCCAATCTGATGTTCTGATGTTCATAAAGGACATCATAAGTGTAAAAAGTATACTTTATTAATAACTGATGAGGTTCTTTTAATTTCTAAATTTTTTTTTACTTATAAAGATTCTTGATAATTTCCATTTGATAATTTCTTGTGTAGTATGTACTGATCATACCCATACTAAGAGTTGATACTTATAAAGTAAACTAAACAAGAAAAGCATATAGAACACAATGGAGGTACATGAATAAAGTCATACCTGCACTTAGACCTGTATCTTTCTGAGATTTATCTCTTCACCACTTATGCCTGCTCTTTATTCTGGTGAGTCAAAGTTTGTGCAGTTGCTTGTCCAATCTGATGTTCTGATGTTCATAAAGGACATCATAAGTGTAAAAAGTATACTTTATTAATAACTGATGAGGTTCTTTTAATTTCTAAATTTTTTTTCACTTATAAAGATTCTTGCTCTATAAGGGCCTGCTGATAGTATGGCTGCAACAATTAAAGGACACATAACACGATTCATAAACGAGGAGAACAATGTTACCAACGCGAAGGAAATGGGAAACACGATTCTATCCCATGGGGTCTACCTGGGATTCGTGTAGTGATGTTAGACAGTCTTGGGGAACCCGAAACTGTTCTCCCAACTCAACAGAAGATTAGTGACATCAGTAAATAGAACAACTTCAGATTTTATCCCGGTGGAATGAGGGTGTGGCAGGCATTTGATATAGGCCCCAGCAAATGCATTTCTTTGGAAGGAACAAATGGTGAACCTTACGTTATATTCTCTATTCAGTTTCTAGCTGTAATGTAGCATGATCTTTAGTTTTGAGACTGAAAAATTCAGCAAGGGAAAGCTGGAAATCAAGATCACTTGAAAACATCAAACCTGGCGCCAGTTTTTGTTATAAAGTTCAAGTTTTTTTTTTTATTTAGAACGCTATACTGGAAAAAGAAACTTCTACTTCATTTAGGTAGCAGTCCACAAGCTGCACCTAACGCTATTTTCGCAATGTGAAACGAACTAATCTCGCTCTGGATAATGTTTAGGTGTGCTTGGTTTTATCTTTCATGTTATTATTTTCCACAAAACGCCATTACCAAAATATTTCGGTTACTTTACCCTCGAAGAATTCAAAGAGATCGCCCTAAGGAGAAAACTTGAAGAGCATACTAAAACTTCCACAACGGATCACGCAGAAGAAGAGGACTATGGCCGTGAAGCGAAAGACCATGATCAAGTGTTTCAATGTCCAAAAGAGGGCCGCACGCGTAGTTTCCAACGGCACTCTTCTCGAGAAAAGCATCTCGCGTTCGGAACATGCACGAAGACGATTGAAAGGGAGACACTTCTTGATGAAGCGAAGGTTAAATATGCTGCAAGACTCGAGGAAGGTTCAAGTTCCGTGCCAACTACTCCTCTACCTCATGAAACCTGTCCTCGTAATAGTGGGTGTGTAACACCGCCTGAAGGCTTCGCTTTAAAACAAGTAAAGAAAGCTTACTGGTTTAACGAAAAGCAACGAGAGTATCTGACTGTTAGATTTACCATCAGAAAAGGAAGCGGCAGGAGGGTCTACTCGGAAATTGTTGCAACAGAAATGAGAAGAGCAAAGGGATTGAACGGGGAGCGCTTGCTCGGTGTCCCTGAGATTTTGACAACTCAACAAGTAGCTTCATTTTTTTCCAGAATGGCAGCAAAAGTGAAACAGCAGACAGCCCCCTGCACACAAACTGTAACTGAGCAAGATCTGGTTGCTATGGAGGAAGAATTTTAATTGTCAAATGTTAAGGAGTCTATTTTTGAGCAGTTAAATGTAACTCATCCTATTCATTAGCAATAGTACAACATCTGTTCCATGGTCGAGAATAACACACTCAAAAACCTCAAACTTACAATCTTAAAACTCCTTTGCGAGAGTTTCAAACTTGCATTACCACCTGGGGTTGTTCAGAGAAAAAGAAAAAAAACTTACATCGCTCTGCTCCAAGACCTTGTTAGATGCTGCTCTTGCAGTGCAGTTTAAAAGGCAAATGGCAAAAGGCTGCTTCAAAAATTGAGTTTTCCATGAACGTTGATATAGAACGGGGGCCGTGTAGCATATTTTGGACCGGAGGAGCTATTGTAGTTCCTGCGTAGTGTGAGCTCATTGGCACCAACTTATATATGAGGGGTCCTGGGGCCTCCCCTGGCAAATTTTAAAGTCTAGAGCTTCTGAAATCACCCGAAACACGTTTTAATCCTTAGAACAATTTGTCAATTTTTTTACCACAAAGATTAAAATAAATAATAATGATAATAATAAATTGTTCTTAGTGGGGCTACAGCCCATTCAACCCCATAACTCCTCGGTCCCCGTATTAAAGGCGCAAACCGGAAACGAAAAAGTCCCCTTCGAACCGCACTTGGCAGTCAGCCTGGAGTCAGATAGGATCAGGCCGGCTAGATATTGTTTGGTATAGACTCATAAAAGGATTTACACAAGTAATGCAAAACGATATATATAGGACTGGATGCTTTAGAATGGAGTTTTTACGAAAAAGGATCGTGTCCGCTTTACTCAGCATTTTCACCTTTGATCCAACGTGACAACTGTCACGCAATTGAAACATTTTGCTTTTCGTCAAGACAGTTACGAGAAATGAAACAAAAGACTCATTGGCTTAAAGACGAATTAAACGCTATTAAATACTGGTCATTATTCTTGTAATTTTTATGTTGTAGCCGTCAAAAGAGCCCTTCCTAAACCAGAACCGTTAGGCAGTACGATTTCTACAACTGATTTGCATCATGCAAATTCGTGACCTCTGGCCACAGTGCGTCGCAAACCTTTATGTTTTGCCGTCACGTTTCTGAATTACCCAGATTTTTTATTTCTTATTATTTCAGAACAAAGACCAAACTTTGTGCCAGTATGTAGTTTGACATGATGTCACACACCAAGACGCGTTTTGAAGGCTTGAAGTTGCTCGATTTTTCGCTTTTCATCGGCAGAAATATTGGACAAGATGGCGGCCGCGCTTGTGCATTTCGTCCATAATGGCGACCAAATAATATAAGAAACTGTATGGAAATTTGTAAAATTTCTAAAATATAACAATCAGGAGCTCATGGTCCCGTCTGCTCTCGATCGAGACATATTCAGTACTGCTATTCATCAAACCTCGCAGGGACTCGATAAATAAAAACCACTTACTTCCCGAGCCAGTTCTTTTGTCATTGATCATTGACCTAGGTCGCCATACAGTTCTTCAAAATCCGTCGTTCTCTATCCCAAAGACTCGCCAATTACAGGAAAGTGCATAAATAAAGTCAACTGCTCTCGATCGAATTGACTGCTACAGAGTTCGAAGCGTCCTAATATCCTGTAAACTTGCCATTTCCTCCCATCAAAAAACTTCCCAACGCGCCAGAATATCCCTTATTTTCCATGTTAAGTAAGTGACGGGACGCCAAGTTGAAAACTATGACTGAAATAGTTAAACACGAGCAACGCTGATCTTCGAATCGTCGGCCATATTTGTTTATGCTCTTGGAGGGAAATAAATTAGTTCTCAGGTCCTTTTCGCAATAAAAATATGCCAGGCATTGAATGCAAATTCAGTAGTCTTAGCGCGAAAATTAAATTAAAGCAAATCAAAATTCTGACATCATGTCATCGCTCTGCCTCGAAAAATTCCCAAAGATTTACTTGCAGGTCTTCTTTTCTTTTTCTTTTCATCAAATAGAAGATCTGCGGTGCTCAAATTGTATAAGTCATGGTACGAAACACTCTTCTTTGCAGATCGAGCCGTGATCGCCGCCGTATTGAATTCTCGTGATATTCTGTTGTTCCGGAGTGTAATACGATATACCGCTGATAATTGTTAGAGGGCTCGAAATGTCCTTGATTTCTGGCGATGTTGCAACAAGTGTTTGACAGCACTTTGTCAAAATCAAACCAAAGCTCCTTAAAATGCGACAAATAAAAATCAAATGAATTATATTTTGAAATAAAAACACCCCTTATTTCTTACGAATCATCCTCCTTCACTACTAGCACGCTAAAGTTGGTAAATTTTACTGTATTTTTTGCATAATTAATAAGCTAAAAAACCAAATTTTCGTTTTTCCCCATTTTCTCGGACACATTTGAATTTTCAAACTTTGAAATAATTTTTTTGAACATATCTCCCTAAAAGGGTTTTCCAGGCAAATTATCAGAACTTTCGATTTGTTTAGCCTGGCCAGCGATTCTCGATATTTACAGTCACGGCCTCTTCAAAACGTTTCCGTTTCATCTGAATAACAAAATAAACATGGCAATTGTCGGGAAAGTCCCGACTGTCTTTCATTGTTTTTGTCTTTTCACTTTCAAAAGCATGCGCTACGAAGTCAACAACTTGGTAAGTACGAGTAGAAATGTTTAATACGGGGGTACACAGCTTTCTATATCTACAAATAAATTTGTAACAGAAGACTTTTATTTTAAGTAACTTTGCATGAGTAACGTTTTAATGGAAAAGCCTCAAATAAATGCTATTTTGTCAATGTGTATGTCCTGTGCCTATCCAGTCATGTGATGTTATGCAAAATCGCAACCATGAATAACACACGTGTTAGGATATCCAAACACGTGTGTTTGGAAAACATTAACAGCCCACTTATCTTTGTACTGAGTACTTTTACGCTTTGAACGTTCGAGCAAAGAAACTTCCTCTTTGCAACTTTTCGGCGGTCGAAACCACTAAAAGTACTCAGTACAAAAATAAGTGGGCTGTTGATGTTTTTCAAACACATGTGTAATTGTCGGGAAAGTCCCGACTTTCCTTCATTGTTTTTGTCTTTTCACTTTCAAAAGCATCCGCCACGAGGTCATCACCTCGGTAAGTACGAGTAGAAATGTTCAATACAGGGGTATACAGCTTTCTATACCTACAAAAAAATTAGTCACAGAAAAAGCCACGAAGTCTACATCTTGGTGAGCACGATTAATAATCTTTCATATCACACAGCTTTCCATCGCTCAAATGACTGAGTAACTCAAGAGAAATAATGCTTTTTTGGGAAGACCCAAGCTATTTCGATCTTTATGTTTGCGCTCTGTAGTTACTTATCATTCGAATAACACGCGGCGAAAGAATCGCCAATGTAGTGATATACATTTAGAGCACCTTTTTCAAACCTTTGTGGCATTATATCCTCGTTCTTCATTCCTGCACTATGTAGTTATGTCACGTTACGAAAGAAATTCGTTCCAAAACGACTTTTATACCTTTGCGTCCTTTCACCCTCAACTCTATCCTCATCAGTTAAGATTTAAAACCATCGCTCAATTTGAGGAAATGACGATCCAAAAAATAATATCAGACCTATCTAAATTATGACTGTCTATCCATGATATCATAAGATATTCGTTGTGATTCATTACGTGGTTTTTCAGTAGGAAGTAACCGTCAGGTTTCCCCAGATTTATATTGGTTCGACTGCGTTGTTACGGTGTTCCATGAATCCGCGTAAAATTCGTTGAAAGTTTGAAGATATTGTTTGTGCTATTCGTGTTGTGCCTGACTAAGGTAATATGTAACAATTAATCGCCGAAGGCGAAGCGAATTTTGCTTAATAATCCTGGAGACGAAGTCAGGGGGATTATTGTCCTATATGCGTGTATGAATTAAGCGTGGGGTAAATATTTGTTTAAGCAGAATTGCATGCTTAGCCGCGGGTGCTTTCAATTTCTTTGTGAATTCGTTTTGATTTGGAACTATTCTGTCCCAATTGTTTTGTTGAATCTTATCGAGATATTTAGCCAATCTCCCCTTGAATTGAACCAGTTTGTTTATTTCATTCAATCAGCAAAAACTTCATATTCCTCTTTTGAACAGTGATACGCCAAACTTAATGGCATCTTTTGCATTCTTCGGAATTACATTTCCTTCGCTGCCCTGAGTGAAAAAGAGGGAGCCCAATACCTATCGGAGATTCACAGGATCCGTGTCATTCCTTCTTTGACGACACTCAGGATCATTCAAGATAGTCCAGAGGACTATCACAGCAACACTGGTGCCTTGATAATAGGCAATCCCAAGGTTGATTGGCTGCTGCCATTGCCATGTGCAAGAAAGGAAGTGGATGTGGTCGGACGACTGGTAGGTGTTCCGCCTCTTGTAGACGAGAAAGCAACGAAGCAGGCGGTACTTGAGCGGATAAGCTCAGTGAGCCTGATACATATTGCTGCCCATGGTAACGCCGAAAGGGGAGAAATTGCCTATATGCGTGTATGAATTAAGCGTGGGGTAAATATTTGTTTAAGCAGAATTGCATGCTTAGCCGCGGGTGCTTTCAATTTCTTTGTGAATTCGTTTTGATTTGGAACTATTCTGTCCCAATAATTTTGTTGAATCTTATCGAGATATTTAGCCAATCTCCCCTTGAATTGAACAAGTTTGTTTATTTCATTCAATCAGCAAAAACTTCATATTCCTCTTTTAAACAGTGATACGCCAAACTTAATGGCATCTTTTGCATTCTTCAGAATTGCATTTTCTTCGCTGCCCTGAGTGAAAAAGAGGGAGCCCAATACCTATCGGAGACTCACAGGATTCGTGTCATTCCTTCTTTGACGACACTCAGGATCATTCAAGGTTGATTGGCTGCTGCCATTGCTATGTGCAAGAAAGGAAGCGGATGTGGTCGGACGACTGGTAGGTGTTCCGCCCCTTGTAGACGAGAAAGCAACGAAGCAGGCGGTACTTGAGCGGATAAGTTCAGTGAGCCTGATACATATTGCTGCCCGTGGTAACGCCGAAAGGGAAGAAATACCCTTTCCCCTTTCCTACTCCCAACAGTCGAAACACCATCCCACCACAGGAAGCTTACATGTTGACAATGGCCGATGTCTCAAAAGTGAAAGTCAGAGCTAAACTGGTGGTACTTAGCTGCTGTCACAGTGGAAGTGGAGACATAAGAGCCGAGGGAGTTATAGGAATTGCCCGCGCGTTCTTAGGATCCGGAGCTCGCTCGGTGTTGGTTGCGCTGTGGGCCATTTCAGACTCAGCAACAGAGCAGCTGATGAATCGGTTCTACGAACACCTTGTTGAAGGAGAAAGTGCCAGTAAATCCCTTCATCAGGCTATGAAGTGGATGAGAAAAAACGGCTTGACTAACGTGTCTGAGTAGGCTTCGTTTACGCTGATTGGAGATGATGTGAGGCTCGAGTTTGACAAGCAAAGGTAAGACTCAGTCCGAAAAGATATTTCTAAATTTGAAGTTGAATTGGATGCGAAGGTGGCTATGGTTTACTGGTTCCTGTCTGTGAGCGGTGATCCTTTGTTACCTTGAGCATCAAGGCTACTATGACATCTATATCTATCGATACCATCTATCTATCTATATCTATCTATCTATCTATCTATCTATCTATCTATCTATCTATCTATCTATCTATCTATCTATCTATCTATCTATCTATCTATCTATCTATCTATCTATCTATCTATCTATCTATCTATATATCTATATATATATCTATCTATCTATCTATCTATCTATCTATCTATCTATCTATCTATCTATCTATCTATCTATCTATATATATATATAAATGAATGTGGAGGTAGAGTCTACCTTAGTATTAAGTGCTGAATGCTGTGGTAGAAGAGCTAAGTATTCATAAGTTAAGGAATTAAAGAGGACGCATCGATTCTCTGTGACTCTGAGTTTCGCGCCTAAGCGCTCTTCAGACAGAACTTTATTTAATGAAGAACATACCTCCTTATATACAAATTAGATAAGAAGCTAATTAATTCACCAGTGTGAGGATCTAATCTACATGTGAAATAAAGATTCTATAGAGCTATTATTGGCGGCTTGTGAAATTTGCTAAGCAAAACTTATTCTCGTGGCGGCATTTAGAAATGAGTTCTGTTCTTTTGTTTAATTAAGACGGCTTCTTAGCTCTAACTAAATAAAGTTTTTCTGTGAGGCACAAGTGACACCGCTTGCTTTTGTTGCTCTAGACCGGGGCGATCGCTAAAATACTCCAGTTAATTGTAAAATTGGTGTTGTTTTTGTTGAGTGTCCAGATATGCTTTGATAGTTCCGTGCTGTTTGAATAGTTTCTGTTCCGAAAAGAAAGTTTGTGTTGCGTGTAACGTTGTTTAAAAGTTCCTTCAGTTAGTCCAAAGTAATTCTTTCCGGTTGTGTCATTTTCTGTTGTTACGTTGGCGTTGTAGACGACGCTTGAAGTGAGGCAGTTATTTTTCAGAGGGCAGTCGTTTTTTTTTTTTTTTTCTGCAGTTACAGTTGTTTTCTGTGGAGGGTGTCTTGCTTGTCTCGAGGATTTTTCTGTCGTGTTTCTTAATTATGGTTTGTAGGTTGTCTGTGCAGCTATAACAAACTTTTATGTTGTTTTTGTTGAAAGTCTTGTTGTACCTGTGGCTTTCGGAAAATGTTTACTGACGAGGTTCAGAAACTCTCTGCCGATGTTTGTTTGTACGTTCATGCTGTAGGGCGGATTAAACCAAATTATGTTTCTTTGTCTGTTTTTGCGGCTGTTCTGTACGGTGTGAGTTACAGGTTTCTTGCGTTAAGTGTAGGTTAATTTTTTGTCGTTTCCACATATCATATATAATTATATATCCATATATAATTATATATCCATATATAATTATATATCCATATATAATTATACATATATATATGTAGAGTTGCTACAGACGCTCTCTGGAGAAAACATAGAATCGCGAAGCTGCCTCTCTGCCAATCAGACACAGGTGTTAGCCATTTATATTTTTACATATTGTGCTTGGTATAATTGTATTTGCTTTGTGTATAAAATATTAGTTGAATTAATAATAACCGTTGTTTTTCACCTTTTGACAGAAAAGGAGACCCCGACAGGGTGAATGATGAGAACTGCTCGAAGGGAACAGAGCTAAAAGTTTTTTAATAGACTTTTTAAATTAATAGAAAAAAGAAGAGAAAGTACTCTATCCGGTATTTCATTAAAATTAAAAAAAGAGCTATCCCAAATTAGGGAAGATCTTGTTCAATTTTTTGTGCTTTCTTTCCCAATATTCTCAGAAAGATGCATTGGTTACGTACTCAAGAATTTATTTGTTTTTTTTTTTTTACATAAAAATGATATTTCTGATATAATAAGCGCAACACAATGTTCACGCACGTAAGGCTGTTAAATAAAGAGAAATCAGTAAAGTTAAAACGGTATTCGATTCGTCAACATTCATCTCCATGCTCAGTTGTAATAAGGTATGGGAAAAAATGACTGATCAGCGGGCTAAGCCAAGCTGGGACAAAAGTGCTCAAGATACGATACGACCAACGGGAATTTTTCAGGGGGGGAGGGTGGGCCGTTCACCTCTTCGTGGCTCCGCTGAAAATTGAGCTAGAATGAATCATTTTCACGCCAAACCAGAATTTAATATCGGAAATTATGTAAATACCCGTGAGACTGCTCAACTAGCCATGACATACCCATTATTAAATGTATTTCAACTTCGCATATCATCATGAGCGTTATGAATAGTAGTTTAGGTATAAAACGAACCACTAAAATCTGGTTTGATTTTTTTTTGTCAAAATCTTTTGCAAGGTTTGGTTAGCAAAACCTTCAATTTTTTATGAATGATTTTGATGTAGCATCTTGAAAGATCCTTGTCAACCCCACGCCTCTACGGAGAAATTCGTTCATATTAACTCAACGCTTAGCAGAAATCGTGCCGGTCTGTAAACACTTTTTGGCGACGCGCTCCACATTTAATAAAAAACGTTCAGAGCTAAAAAAATACGACTTAAGAAGGGGATAACGGATACCTGACGAAGTTCTGGAGAAATACAGGTCTGGGGTTGTCTGCTCCAGTAGAGAAGGGTCACTTAATAAACAAAGATTGCCTTTTGTCATGCAAAACCACGCGGCTTTACCGAACCCGAAGAACACACTGGTGGGAAAATGACACCTTATTCAAAATTACACCGGAAAAAAAAATCATTAAAATAAATCCCAGTCAGATCTAATCTTTGAAGACAGAACTTTAAAATCGCTTGCGGATGGTAGGAGTGTCATGCAGGCTCGTCAGTACCCGTCAACTTTTAACTGGTCACTTGCCTCTTTTAATATGCACATTGCGCGAAGCTTGTCGACGCTTTGATGCAGAAAAATCTTTGCAAATTAGGCTCTCGGCACTGAAAATAAAAATGAAGGGCGCGATCGCATGAAGGTTTTTTCCGTAGATTTCTCTGGTTGGTTCACCTCAACTCGTGTTACTCATCTTTTGAGCTGATTTCTTAGAAAGAAAGATTATCGAACAATTTTCTTTTAAACTTTCATTTAGTGTTCCTCGTCAATTTCTGTTTCGAAAATACAATAAAAAAAGATCGGTTACCGTGCTTTTCTAGGAGATTAAGTGGGCCAAACTTACCCCATTTATGCCTGTACTGGCACTAATCAAGCGCATCAATTCATCGGTTCACAGTGCTGGAGCTGGGAGGGCTTTTTGAGCAACTCTTAGAAAAACTTGATGGACAGAAGTGTCGAGCATAGGGAACAAGTGGATATATAATTTGTGGGAAAATCACGCGAATTGAAATGACATCGACTCAAAACGTTCCACGAGTCTTTCCTTTCAAGGTCGTAAATTTGCATCCTGGAGTAACGGGCAGGCTCTTAACTTTATCTTTTTTTTTTTCTCTTCGAAGAGTTTTTTTAAATTTCCCAATTTTAAAGGGGACAAATTGTACACCAAAATCATGCAAAAGAATTTTAGGTCACTCTACTCGTTCGAGAGCTAAAGAGTATCGTTCCTCTTTACCCGGTCCATGGATTGATAACAATACCGTGTTCTCAGAATGCACGGGTACTCATTCCCCTGACTAGGTAATTTTTACACGCAGTATGAGATGCGCAGTGCAAAACTGAGAAATCACCTTAATCACAAAATTGAGACGACAAAGGTGTGGGATTTAGAATCTAGTATCGAATTCTCGTTCCATTATCCAAAGTATTTAAGTGAGAATGATGATACCGTACTATGTCAGAAAAACAAAATTTTCCTCATCGAAATCTAGATATGACGTAAAATACCTTGATTTCAGCTTTGGAGCGAAGGACTACACAGCGTGGACATGACCAGCTACGCCAGAGGAAGAGATTGCACGTAAATGAGATAAGGCCTTGCTGCTGAGTGAATTTTAACAATTAAACTGACCCGTTTAAATTTATAACGCTACTAAGTTTGCGGTTCATTTTTCAGCTTTTACATGAAACTATTTACAGAGACAACTTTAAATCAAGTTTCATTGAATACACCACGATGATGGGAGGTACCCAAGAGTAGGACCGGTGTGGCTGATTATACGGAAGCCGAAAAAAACGTTTTCTCAGGAAAAATTACAAATTTAGAGTTTACCTTTGAGCGATTATTCTGTTTTTTGCTTTTGTTTAGTTATTTCCTTTAGACCTTTAATATGAAAATTTAATTGCAATCTCCAACCTAAAAATCAGACCGGAATTGGAACAAAAATGTGATAGGTCCTCCTCGACTATTTGATGCTCATCACATTTTAACAGAGGTGAAATAGACTACATTCGTTGATTATTACTAAGAACATTATGTAGTAGAGTAGTCCGATCGTCCAAGTGAGTGGAGACCTGAGAAGAGCTGTTGTCGGTAGTGGTGACTACTGATAACAGTCCTTCTCAGGATTACACTCAACCGGACGATCAGACAACACTCTACACTTAATGTATGGTCCCGAGGGAAACAGTTAGTTTTATTTTCCCGAGAGTCCTGATGAATTTGATCAGGGGCACGTGACCAAGAATCAGCCAATCACAGTGCTCGTTTTGTTGAGTTAAATTCTAGATATATAACAATATCACATGTTACCCCCAGGTTCAAACCATTTATTGTATTAAGAACATTGTAACATGGCTTCTTGTCCTCTCTCTACCCATATCACTGGGTCTTTTACTAAGGCGCAAGTACAACTTCAGGATCTTAATCCGACAATTGTGTATTCATTCTTTACCGATCTTTCTCTGGACTTTTTCAGCCACCTCCTCCACAGATAGACCACGCTCAAATAATAAGCTCCAGTCAATATGTTTGGGTTACCGTATTTACCCGTGTATAACACGCACTTTTTTTCTATTAAAATAA